TATGACAATTACAAACACTAAGATTTTATATATAATAAATCATTTATAATAATACATATATTATAAATTTGTATATATAATTTAACTAGATATTGCAGTAGATAATTTTGTTATGAAGAAACAAATGTTTGATTTTTAGCGGAAGTTGTATCGGAAGATGTAATATTGAAGTGGTATAAAGAAGGACATTCCGTGAAGGGAAAAATGCTCTTTCTAGACCAAATGAAAAAATTTGTGGAATGGCTACAGAATGCTGAAGAGGAATCTGAATCAGGAGAAGAAGAGGATTAGATCTTCAAGTAGCTTTTTACAAAAGTTTATACAAAATCCACGAGGAATTTATTGTACCTTATAATTATAATTTATAGAATTATAACAGTAAAATAAATTGAGCTCTCGAGATAAACAAGGACAAAAAAATATATATATGACTAACCGACAATTGAGAGCAATAATCAATGCAATTGTTCGTGCATAATAATTAATGAGTGTATTGTTCTACACGTTACATATAGACATCGTATATACATGGGACATCGCTGATGATAGCTCGGACGAAATGTCCGATTCTTCTCATTTATATGTTATTATTGCTCTCAATTGCCCATTAGTCATTATATATTTTATAGCCATGATTTTTTATGACTATTTTACAGCATTTTTTTTCTCTACAGGAAAACGCATCGTTGCTAGTGACAAGAAACGATAATCCTAAAATTTCAAGATAGATCAAGAACAATATCAATCGCAAAAGGCATACGGATTCTTGAAAAACAAAATATAAATAAGATATAAATAAAAGTCAATGTTAGGACCTCCATAATGAATTAAGTATTTAAAATAGAAAATTTTTAAATTATCAATAAGGACTAAACACTAATATCCAATGTGGAGGAACTGTAAATTTGCAACATCTTTGAATTGTATTACTTTAAGAAAAAATATTTTGTGTTACATTTTTATAACTCCGTTACAAAATATATACAGAATAACAAAGAAATTATAACAAAAAAAATCTTTATTTCTGTGTACGTACAATTTTCGGATCCCTGTCTTTCTTTGTATAATAATATTGTATTAGTTTATAGAAAATATACTGGACAGGTGGTGTTTAATATTTTGAGTTTTGGTAACAATTCCTTATAATACTTTCTTACGATAGAATGAACAAATGTCAGGAAAAAAATTGCATGGTAACATTCTAATATTATTGAAAGATAATGCTTTTTACTTGATTTAGAAAAGAAATGTGTTCAACCTACGATCACAGTATTCATTCATAGGCAATAGTTGCAATATTTATACTTTATCCAGCTTTTTCTTTTACATTTAATTTTTGTTTATATTTGTAAATTCTCATATCTGCGATTGGTTGCTTTTTAATGAGTGTTTTACCCTTCATCAGAGGCACCAACTCATTTGGCACAGTGATACGATGATGTCTTGTTTGATATGTTTCGCACAATGCGATTAACATGCGAGGTATCGCGCACGCAGTTCCATTTAGTGTATGCACGTGAGCTGTATTTCCATCTTTCGTTCTATATTTAATATTGAGGCGCCTTGACTGATAATCCGTGCAATTACTACAACTGGATAATTCACCATACAATTTTCTTGCAGGCATCCAACCTTCCATATCACATTTCCTAAAACAAAAAGAATTACATTTATGAAAAATATAAATATACTGAGTGTCACGTTTTAAATAACTGCCTCAAATATCTCTTGAATTCATTTGAGAGAAAAATGTTTCAGACAAACATTTTCAAGGGAGATATAATATGGTACTATTGATTTGATCTTGAGTTGTCAAAATAAAGACAAAGAAGCTGAATTATTTAAATAGAACCTCCCATTTTTCATTACATATTTTGTAGCTTATATCTCGAGAGCTTTTCGAAGCTTTATAATAAAATATCTTTTCATTAATTATTTTTCGCGTGCGTGTGTGGATGGATAGGTTTCGTGCGTGCGTGTCACATTACACATGCACACACGCATGTACATTATACACACGCGCGCGCATATATACATCATATATAAATGAAAAATTAGTGGTTCTATTAAAAAAAATTTAAAGTGACCTTGTCCTGATTGAAGGACTCTTCCTACACAAAATAAATAACAATAAATAAAGGACAAAGTAAGAGTCAAACATATTTTTTAAAATTGTCACACAATTAAAAAAAATAAATTATAAATAGAGAAAAGTAAAATTGAAAAAATATAATAAAATAAAAACTTAGTTTAAATACAAATAAATTATAAATAAATTACAAGTTTTGGCTGCCGGATTAAGTCCTCTTCAGACATTAAATTATTATAAAAATCGCTGTACAAAATTAATTATCGGAAATGTTCGCATATTCAATATAATCACA